GAGACTTGAATTTTTTCTTCAGTTCCCCCAGCTTGAGAAATGCTGACCGTGTTCTTCCCTTTTGGTTTTCTAACTCTAAATCTTTGCACATTTTATTATAGTATTTGGCTTTATCTTCTCGAGCTGATCTTTGAAATTTTCTGTTCAGCTCTTGCACCTGAACAGTGTGAGGTTAGGTGCACACATTGGAAAGTTCCAATCATAGGTTTCACACATACTTGTTATGTGGACCTCCAACCTCAGATTTCATATCTATAAAGTGGGGATACTAATATCTGTCTCACAGAGTTTGTAAGGATCAAATTAAATTACGACCTAATAAGTGGCAGTAATAATACTGTTGCCAGTGAATAAGGAAGATCGTAGAAGAATTGATGCCTTTGAGTTGTGGTGTTGGAGGAGAATACTGAAAGTGCCACGGACTGCCAAAAGGACCAATAGATCTGTTTTGGAAGAAGTGCAGCCAGGGTGCTCCTTGGAGGCCAAGATGGCTAAACTTCGTCTCTCATACTTTGGACATGTTGTCAGGAGGGAACAGTCGCTGGAGAAGGATGTCATGCTGGGTAAGATGGACGGTCAGAGAAAAACAGGAAGACCCCCAACTAGATCGATCGGTGGCATCATTGATGGCGTCAAGTGTGGCAGCGGTAGTGAGTTTGGTCCAGGATCGGACATTGTTTCGTTCGGCTGTGCATGGGTCACTATGAGTCGGTTCCGACTCGATGGCACCTGACAACAACAACATTGTTGTATGCCATCAAATTGGTTCTGACTCATAGAGACTCTGTACAGAGTTTCCAAGATGGGTCTGAACAGCGGACCCTGCAGTCCACTGCTGATCCTACAGCGTCACACCAGGACACATCATGACAACGTATCATCATCGTCACTATCATCCTTCTCACTAGCACACAGTCCTGCTCCTTCACAACACCAAACTCTTTCTTAGTCTTTTTCAAAATACTGCCACAACTTCTTTCTTGGTCCAGTAAAAGACATTTATATTAACTTATGCATTCAGAAATTAGAAAGATAGATCAGTTTTTCTAATTATTTTAAATGAAGTGTTTATTCAAAAGCAAATTGTCTATAACTATGTTGTCTCTGGCATATTTTATTGAAAGCCTTTTTTTTCCCCAGAAAAATTATGTGCTTAATTTAATTACTGAACCTAAATTATCAAATTAGTCACTTAATAAAAGTTAAATAATAGTGGTTAAATGAGCATTAAATGAAATAAACTGCAAGATTTTCAGTCAAAAACACTGTGATAAGAGTTATATATAGCTCATTAGTAATTATAAGTTCTTTCTGAAGCAAACATGATTACTAGGTTCACAAATAATTTCCTAAGGCTGAAAAGAGAATATAACCTAAAATGGACAGAGTTGTTAACTTTGTAGCCGCAACTTCTCCTGCTTTTATTATGGGCCCTATTTCATTAGAAAAATGAAATGGAACTGATGATGGCATAAATATTATCTATCCATGTAATGTTCTAGAAAATGCCAGCTGAGCTATGGGTTATCTACTGGATTAAATAACTGGCAAGAAATGACTGCAGGAAGAGAGCAGCTGAAGTTACTATTCCATGTGTGTCTTTTACATGAAACCCCCTAAGGTCACAGGGAAGACAGTACAACAGAAGGGAATTAAGAACACGGCTTTTAAACATACCTCAAATAATCCACGATCAACTGGGAAAAGTCTTCTTAGAACTTGCAGAGTTTGTTCTCTTTCTGCAAGGAATGGCAGCCAACAGAGAATGAAAGAAGCCACCACGGTACAAGCTAACTTGATCAACAACAGAAACCTAGAACAAAAACAGAAGCACAAAGTAAGATTAGGAGAGGATTAACAATTCTGAGAAATCGATCTGAGTCTCACTAAATATAATAAATGCAAACGCATAGTTAATGAGAATCTATGTTAACATTATAGGTTTCAGATAGGAGTCTGCTCAGATCAGAGGTAAGAAAGTCACAGCTGCTAAGAAGTTACTTTTCCAACTCACAGACTTGCTGTTAGTTAACATTGATTTAGGGGCCTTTCCTATGGGGATTAGGGAATGCAGCCATAGAAAAAAAATATCAACTTGGAATTTATTTCCTATAAGAGTATAATGTAATATTTATTATTTAAAGGTACGAAATCTTACAGCAATGCTTTAACATGATAATAATCTACACTGCTTCCAGTAAATGTACATTGATCAACATAGCTCTCTTGTTGTTGTTATGTTCTGTGGAGTCAGTTCTGACTCATAGCGACCCTGTACAGGGTTTCCGAGGCTGTAAATCTTTATGGGTGCAGAAAGCCTCATCTTTCTCCGGTGGAACAGTTGGTAGTTTCGAACTGCTGACCGTGAGATTAGTAGCCCAATTTGTAAGCACTACGCTACCAGTTCTCTAGGTAAGAAAATTTAAAAGCATATATAACATGATTTAATTTCTCTTCCTTTTCACCCTACAGACAAAAATAAATTATTATAAAAGCAAAGTGAAATAAGTTCTCTTAAGTAATTCTTGTTTTTAATTCCAGTGTTTAAAAACCACTCACCCCTTTCCTTTAATGCCTTTTTTAAAACACTTGCCAAGTAAAAAACAAAAAAATGGCAAGGAGTGGTAAAGTTCCATCTGTTTGTAATTTATAGCTAAGCAAAATGCCAGTGACCCTAGCAGGTCCCAGTCATAAGACACGCCAAGAACACCCCACAAAGCAAAGCCAAGACTCACAGAATTATATATGTTCCTGTGTTAAGGAAATTAGTTCAATAATTAATAAAGACAGATTGCATTTGATAGAGCACATTTCTTATAAGCTTTTAAAACACATACAATAAAAGATATTTCTAAATAGAAATGAAATGTCCTGGAGTGATACAAACATTTGAAAATACATAATGGTCTCAAATATTAAATTAATTGCTACACAAAGCAATGGATTTGTTTATTCAAAAGAGGTCTAAATAGTTAACACAGATTTGTTTCTGTTAGGTTACTTCACAGTATTACTATCACAACATACTAAAATAATAATACTCCAAAGTTAAATTAAAAAACAGAAAAACTTCTTTGAGACATCATTATTGTTGTTGTTAAGTGCTGTTGAGTCGGTTCCAACTCATAGCAACCCTGTATAGGCCTCTAGTGTTTAAAAACCACTCACCCCTTTCCTGTAAGGCCTTGTCTGCATCAATAATATTAACTAATACATATAACTGGCTGGATGGTGCTATAGAATAAGCACTTAACCACAAGGTCGATTTTACTCACTAGGTTGGCAGTTCAAACCCAAGAGTCACTCCCCAGGAACCCTATACAGGATAGCTATGAGTCGGAAGCTACTTGATGACACTTAACAACATCAAGCGACTAATAATAACACTGTTATGCAAAGGTAAAGCAAAAAAGTATTGTTATGGGTTTATTTACATGCAGTGGTTCATCCCAAACAAAGGGTGTTTAAACATGTCTCTGAGATCAGTTCTCTCAGTAATGCACTTGCCTTAGACTCATGAAGGGACCTTCTAAAAAAAATGCCCAATCAAAACAGTGGCCTCCAAGAGGATCTGCTGGACCAGTTAAATTCAAGGCAGAGTGACCAGTTCAGAAGGTTATGGTGACTGTTGTGATTCCAAAGAGGTACTCTTCATAATTTTTTTTCAAAGGACATCATAGGGGCTTAGTGGGAAGAAATTTTACAAAAATTGAAAACTACATTGGTGAGGAAAAGGCCACGAAAGTTGTGCTGAGGAATTGTTTTCCATCACAACGACGCTCCTGCTCATTCTTTGAGGGCAGCAAGGACTGTCCTAGGAGAATTTCACTGGACAACCTTAGACCTGATCTTGACTCTTTTGACTTCCCGTTGCTCCCCAAACTCAAAGAAAATTTAAGAGGAATACAATTTGAGTTTCTGGAGGATGTCAAAACTGCCACTTTGGTATGGTGTAATTCAAAGCATGCAGAATTCTTTGGGGGTAGGGTTAGAAATAGAAACACTGCCTTCAGAAGTGTATAGATGTAGATGGAGTAGATGCTGAGAAACAACAGTTTCACATACTGCTATTTTTGTTCAATAAAGGTTTCTATGATTTTGTAGCAAAACTTTCTGACTTGCCCTCATATCCAAACATCACAACTAGCTCTTCAAAAATGGATAGCTAAGCATTCCTATTTATTTACCCCTCTCCTTCCTGAGACTCCCTTAAAGTAATAATATTAAAAGAGAGAGAATAAGAACGGTATAAATTCACAACCATAAAGAAAACTGGAGGGCACATTTTAATAGATGACAAAGATTTCTGTCTAGGCGATAGAAAAGTGGTATCAAAGAAAACAGGGTAGAAGAAGCACAGCTTAGAGAATGTTTGGAAGAGACTCCCAGGCAAGCAAAGAGCCAATCCACCCTGTAAGACTCAACAACTTTGGAAACAGCAAGTAGGTTGAAGTGCTTGAATAATATGTGGACAAGAAAGCAAGGGGATGAACTGAGTATTTACAGATGGAGAAATCAAATCCCACCCCAGCTCTATTTAGCAGCCTCACATTTACCTCCTGGAAATGAAAGAAAAAGTCTTTATCCAAAAGAAATGGAGTAAACTGTCTGGAGTAGCTGGTGAGAAGTTAGCACTGCAGCATAAAACCCACCACATTCTGCCATTTAAGCATCCCACAGTGCACACTGGCTAGCTCCCTACAACAGACCAATCATACACAATAATGTATCACATACAGCCTTCTACCGCATTCTGAAATAACAGGATCATGTAGACATTAAAGGAACACCTATGACATGATAGAAAAGGATCAAAATTAAAATGTGAAACAAGTGACCTTGTAAGAATACAGATAATTCAGGAAATCAGATAGAACATTTAAAAATCCCTCCTAATTATAAATTTAAAATATGATTATAAACACAAATGAAATTAAGTATGTCTTAGAGACAAAATCAAGAAAATCTTCCACCAAGAGCAGAGGTCCCTGGAACCATCAAGGGAGAAGATCGGGGTATAGGACCCTACCGGGAGAAGCAGTGACGTCAGAGATGGAGGCAGATATGATGACGTGAAGAGATGGAGCGGCTGGGGGTTCTAGACCCAGAGAGGGAGAAGGGCTGTGTGCTGATGACCAAGGGGCAGGCTTGCTGGGTGTACCCTTTGATTCTTTGATGATGCATGGAGGGGATTGAAACCATGGCAATGAAATGATATACGATAGGATGAGTGTAAAGCTAATGTTCTCCCATGTAAACTATTACATAATTCATAATAAACACTTAAAAAAAAAAGAAAGAAAGAAAGAAAATCTTCCAAATCACAAAAGAAAAAGCAGAGAAATGCTCAAGAACTCTTTGATCTAACATCTGACTGATACAAGGGAACTTCAAAAAGTTCACAGAGGTGCTGCCCTGCCATCTGTCCTGGCCGACTTGCCCGCCAAGCTACCCACCAATCCAGAACTGTGTGTATTCATGCAATGGAATACTGCAATGAAAGTGTATGAATTACAACTACATACAACATGAATAACTCCCGCAAACAAAACGTTGAACTAAAAACACCAAACATGAAGGAATACCTACTGTGAAAATTAAATTACATTACAGTATTAGTATGCAGCGAACTCTGTGGTGGCTCTGTAGGATAAGCACTGGACTTTGAATCACAAGGTCAGAGGTTTGAGTCTACCAAACACCCTGCAGGAGTAAGATGAGGCTTTCCATTCCCACAAAGATTTACAGCCTCTGAAGCCCTGTTCTGGGTTGCTGAGTCAAAACTGACTTTATGGCACTTAACAGCACCACCATCATCTTTGGGAAAGGAGAAGGGAGCAGTATATGGGAAGGATACAGGGGTAGTCTTTTGGATATTGGCAATGATCTATTTCTTGACATAGAGAATAGTTTACCAGTGTACTGAGATGTACATTTATATTTTGTGTACTTTTCTACATGAGTGCTTCACTTCAAAATAGTTTTTAAAATTTGGTAACGACTGTTATTTTTTCTTTCTTTTACACCAGTATTCTTGATATTACCAGACTATTGGTTAGGCATAATCCATGATCCCACAAGCTTACATGTTATGGTTATTTTTATCCCCTCCCTCCAAAAAACCAAGCCAAACTGGGAAAGCTATAAATGATAATATATTTGGCAAAACCTTTGATAGATATGCAAATCAATTTAATGACAAATGAAAACATTTTAGCATCAAAATAGACTTATTAAGCCATTATGTTACCAGGCATTATGGTTCCTTTTTTTTCCTTTGGAACAGATAGTAACAGAACACAAATTTTAGATAACCAGGTATAGATTTTATAAAATTATCCTCTGAGATTAGTTTGTTTCTGAATATTCCTTCTTTTGGGGGGTCAAAAATATATATAATCATAAATCCACATGATGGTGGTGGTAGTAGTGTGTCATTGAGTCGGTTCTGACTCACAACAACCCTATATAGGGAACTGTAAGTCTTCACAGGAGCAGAGAGCTTCCTCTTTCTTCTGAGGAGTGGTTGGTGGATTCGAACTGCTAACCTTTTGGTTAGCAGTTCAACATGTAATAGATTTTAATTGTCCAATTAGTTTTAGTTTCCCAAAGTTTCCTAGATACCACTATCTATAGAGAATTGATTTGTTTTAGAAGTTAACAAACTGTTAAGATTATTTCCCTTTTTTTTAGGATCAGGTAAAATTTACAAAAGATAACACATGCTACACCTTTTTATAACAAGGAAGACATAACTATGCTTGGCACTCATATTCTAACTTCCCAGAAAGAGCTAATCAGGTGTTGTTGTGAGGTGACGTCGAGTCAGTTCCTACTCATAACACGACCACGTATGGGGTTTCTCAGTAGTGGCTGGTGGGTATGAACCACCAGCGGTTCAAAGCGACTTTGTGGTCGAGTACTTATCTTACAGCACCACACCAGGACCAATCGGTTACTAACATTTTATTCCCAAACCAAATAGGTGTGAAAAGCAATTCTACTTTTAATAAAGCTGTACTTTGTCCTTCAAATAAAAGCCTGGCTAACAGATTATTTTATATAATTGTGAAAATCATGTATATAGTCAAGTACCCTGGCAGATAAGGCATTATTAGAAGACAATATCAGACACAGTTGAGCCTAGACTTCAGAATATGCAATTAAAGATTTCCTTTTTCAATTAGTGAAGGATACTGAAAATGTCCATAGTCAATAAGAATAAGGCCTGGATACAGCAATATGCACAATGCATTAGCAATCTGTAAAGAAAAACATTGTGAAATTAGTAATCTGTTACTCAAACAGGATAACAGCATAGTTTGATTCAACACAGTAGCAAATGTTCCCTCTTTGCTAAGGTGTGATTTGCCTTCTGTTTACCATAATTTTCCATCCTTCATAAAACAACTATTTTAGTCACTACATTTTTATACAAGTGACAATAAAAAAGAAAATTCACTAAAAGGCATTTGTTCAGAGGAAGTACTTTTAGATATACATATCAGAGAGGTTAATCTAATAATTAAAACTATCAGCAATGATTAAAAAAGTATCTGGTAATTGTAAATACGAGGGAATATAGTGACTTTATAACAAATGCTTTACAGCTTAGTCATTCCATACACTAGTTCAAAATTAAGATTTTCCAGTTAAGCAAAAAACTCAGCATGCTATGTAGTTCAACAGGACATATCTTCTCAAATTCAACAGATACACTATGGTGGTAGTGCTGGTGACTGTGCACCTTGGAGTCAGTCCCGACTCACAATGATCCTGTATAGGCTTTCCAAGACTTTAAATCTTTATGGACGAGAACAGAAAACCTCCTCTTTTTTCCGAGGAGTGGATGGTAGCTTCAAACTGCTGACCTTACAGTTAGCAGCCCAACTCATAACCCACTACACTATCAGGGCCCCTATATCTTATGATTGTTGTTATTGTTAAATGCCGTCAAATAGGTTACGACTCATAGTGATCCTGTATAGGGTTTCCAAGGAGCAGCTGGTGGGTTTACAGCCAACCTTGTGGTTTAAACCGACCTTGTGGTCCAATGCTTTATCTCACAGCACCACACTAGGACTCCACATATTATGGTTGCTATTGTTGTTAAACCCCATCTACTTGTTTTCAACTCATAGCAACCCTGTATAGGGGTTCCAAGGAGTGGCTAGTACGTCTGAACCACTGACCTTGTAGTACTGACTTTGAGGTCCGGTGCTTTACCCAATAGCGCCACACCAGTACTTCACATATATTATACATATTTGTTGGTGTTCTTAGGTGCCATCCAGTCAGTTCTGAACCAGAGGGACCCTGAATAGGGTTTCCAAGGAGCAGTTAGTAAGCTTGAACCACTAACTTTGTGATTCAAACCTACTTTGCAGTACAGCTATATACATAGGGCATCAAAATAATTACTGTAAGAGAAGTTGATATATTCTAAATAAAAATTAATTATTCTATCTATTCCTAACGGCATGGCTTCCTTAAAATTTATACTTAATGGTCAACCTACTAAAGAAACCATTTCAGAGATGAAACTTACCTTTCCTTTAGTTGAAGTTTCTTTTAAGCAACAACAGTATAAAATCACTGCAGGTATGTAAATCAGCAAATCAGCAATGAAAACTGAAAAAGCAAGCAATAGTTAAAATAGCTCAGTAAGAGCCCAATAGGAGTTACAGTAACCCATTACTGCCTCCTTCCACCCAAACCTGATTGGGAATTCTGTTAACACAAGATCCCTACCTACTCAGCACAAGTTTGTTATGTAACTAGCCTTGTAATTCTCCGCATCTCTGCCTTATTTGAATTGATATAGTCCTAGGAGTCTCTTTTCTTAATTGTCTCTCACAAATTTGCATGTTAAATTAATTAGATATAATCCAAGATGCCTTTTTTCTTTGTCCTGATTTGCTCTTAAAAATTAAGAATGCTCAAAGTAAAGGAAGACATTTCCCTCCCTCAATATTTGTATACTCAAGTGTGATGTAAAGAAAACTTCTCAAATGTGGTGATGCATAAAAAGGATGGATAATCCTTTTAAAATGCTAAGTGAATGCTTATAAAAATGTATATAAACCTTTACTAATTAATGCATAAAAAGCTTGAGGAAGAAATTAAATATTTTTTAAAGAAATCATTCATAATTCTGAATGAATGTTCAGTCCTTTTAAGATACAGTTTAACATAGCTGTCTTACATAGCTGTCCAAAGGGCCTATTTTTCTCTGACTGTACTACATTAAGTATAAAGTCCACAATAAAGGAAGTGATCAACTTTCTGTGTTATTCTGCATGTGACATGTTCAACTCCAGAGACCATATTTAAGATGACGCTGACAAACTAGAATCTATCCAAAAGTGGCTTCAAAACCACAATCACATTCAACAAAATGATCTTCTAAAGAACAGCTACAATATCTATAAACACTTAACCTGGAGAAGAGATGACTCTAAATGTCTGCAGAATGTTTGGTATATAAAGATTGGACTTACTTTTTCTGTGGCACAAAGATGTATAATTTATGTGTTCAAGATGCATAAAAAAGAACTTTTACATATTTCAGGGATCTTGGGACATAGTGCAGGCTTTCTCTAAAGGGTACCACCAAAAAAAGAAAAACCCACTGCCATCAAGACAATTCCATCTTATACCAACCCTAGACTAGAACTGCTCCACAGGGCTTCTGAGACCCAAAGGCCTTATGGGAGCAGACAGCTTCATCCTTCTCCCATGGAGCAGCTAATGGGTTTGAACCACCAACCTTGTGTTAGCAGCCCAATGCTTCACCCACTGTGCCACCATGGGCCCATTACAGATCATAGTCCCCTGCAAATAGAGGTCTTGGTTTAAATGCTGACTCATCATGTGTTGAGTAAGCAGCTAGTTCAGAGAAGATTTAAACTTTGGTGATAGAGGGTGATTATCTCATGGGCCTGAGATTCCATGACTGGCTCACCAGGAAACAAGAGAAAATTCTGACCAAATTTAGACTAAATAAGGCAAAGATCCAGGCTAGCATTAAAGTGTAAATCACATGAAGTTCTAAAGAAATCTAACACAGTAGATGCCCAATAAACATCTGTCTAGTGAACTCCTTAATTTAACAACAATGTATGAGATACAGCTGTAAAGTTTACTTTAAGGAAAAGATGAAAAGGACTTATTATAATTGGGATGTTACAACAGCAGCTGAAACAACTAAAGTCTCAAACTATAGTTATCTGACCTCAGGGAAATTAGTTAGTTCATTCCACTGTTCTTCAGCTTAAAATACGGATAATAATAGTATTTACCTCATATACAGATTCAAAGAATTAAGTAAGATAATAAATATAAAGCACCCAGAATTATTCCTCTCCATTTTTAATAGTCACACAATTTAAAATGTCAATGAGTACAATAATGATACCTTTTATCAGTCTGTCCAAAATTTCTAAAAATCTCAAATTTTACTCTCAATATCTACTGCTCTTTTACCTGTTGCACGCATAAAGAGTTTATGTGCCTGACTCTCATAGCCACGTGATGTATGGAGAGCAATCCAGTCTGGATTTATAAATTCTGCCCTGTAAACAAAAACATATATATACATACTTTATTCCTCTATCACTTTGAGCAATAAAGAAATCTAATAACATGTAAATTTGAGAATTAGTATTGGTCTTATAAAGCAATACAGCTAAAACGTAAACTTAGCTTTTGTTTTTTAATCATATGAAACTTACTTAAACTATCAAACAGGGTCTGTCTTGCTCCTCTTTCAAGAAAACCATATGACATGAACTATGAGCCCTATTTTCACAGTTCTTCCGGTATAAAAACAATCTTCTGTGTCATACTTTATTTATAAAATACATTCGTTGAAAGAACAATATACTAGAATTGACCAGAAGATCGTATTTTATCTTTCATAATCTTCAGTTACCGTAAGAGTAGGCTACAATAAACAGTTATTAATTATAAAATCACTGCATTAAACTAAAAACAACATTAAATATAAAGATTGTAATCATATTACATTACCCTAAACACTGTAACATATAACTGACTGTCATGAAGTTTGGGATCTTATTCTGATTCCATGAAGCAAATTTTTTATAAAATATGAAATAGTTAAAGTTGAAATAATAAAATAAGTAAGATGATTTCAGACAATTTAATATTAAGTTCCTCAAATTTCTCCTGACACACTTCAAAAGTTTGTGATGGATGCCAGTACACAGTAGAACTGGGTCTCCAAAATAAAATTCAGCAACTTTATAAGGAGCATTGGGGGTGCCGTGGCTAAGCACTGGGCAATCAAATGCAAAGTCAACAGTTCAAACCATTCTATTTCTTTAAGAGGAGGAAATTTCAGTCCCCACCTTCAATCACAGAGTGAAACACTAAAGTAATTCTAGTTTAGTCAGAATTAACATTTGAACTGATATTTTCCCTTTACTTAGGGACATTCCAGAAAAAAATGTTTCAATCCAAAATTAACTCATATATTCAGTATAGTTCACACTAGTCCATATGTAGTGGGTAACAACTTTATTTCAAAATAAAGCTGGATTTTTGCCTTTTTTTTTCCAGCCTGTCCTACAAAGAAATTATAGAAATGTCTAACCTCTTATTTAGTCTCTTTCTAGAAGGAGCCCTGGTGGCATAGTGGGTTGCAGTTGGGCTGCCATACCTATCAGCACAAGATCAGCAGTTCAGATCTACCAGTCGCTCTACAGGAGAAAGATGAGGCTTTCTGCTCCCATAAAGATGGACAGCCTTGCAAACCTTAAGGGTCCATATGAGTTGGAATCAACTCTGTGGCACACAAGTACCACCACCAACAGCAGTTACCTTTTTAACAATTTGGTTATAATGTCATAGTGCTTTACAAACCATATACAACAGTAGCTACAAACAATTACTATTCAACAAAGGCAGATCACACTGTTTTTAACTATGTTTACTAATATCTACTAAGTGCCGTTGAGTTGTTTGTGACTCATAGCAACCCTGGTTTCCAATGAGCAGCTGGTGGGTTTGAACTGTTGAGCTTGTGGTTCACAGTACAGTGCTGATCCTATAACACCACACCAGGAGTCATAAAGGTATACATGTTATAAGTTACACAAAAGAGAAAAACTTACGCATATGAACATAAGAGACTATGGTAGGCTGTAAGAGGTGGGTAATCTAGTCCCCAGTACTGCAAATCATTATCACTGCTGTTAAAATACCTGTAAAAATGAAAAAGAAGGTACTATTTCATTAACCAATATTCAAGACATACTTAATTGTAGGAGCTCTTATTTCCCTCCACCACTGGTCTGTCTATGGTGGCGTGTGTGTTGCTGCAATTCTGGAAGCTAGACCACAGGTATTTTAAATACCTGTGATCAGCAGGGCCACCCATAGCACACAGGTTTGAGCCGAGCTTCCAGATTAAAACAGACTAGAAAGAAGGAGGCACGGGTTACTTCCAAATATTTAGTCACTGAAAAGCCACTCACATTGGAAGTCACTCAAAATATGACTGGAGAGGAGCTGCCTCCTCAAAATAGTCATGATGATGATAATTGAGTAATGCTTTCAGGACCTTCTTTTGCTGATAGGACACAACTCAAAATGAGGAGAAACACTTGTAAGCATCCATTAATAATAATCAGAACATAGTATGAATATAGTACATAGTACAAAGTATGAATCTAGGAAAATTAGAAGTTATCAAAAATGAAATGGAATGAGTAAATATCAATATCTTAGGCATCAGGGAGTTACAGTGGACTGGTATTGGCCATTTTGAGTACAACAATCACATGATTTACTATGCCAGGAATGACATACATATTAAAGACGAATGGTTTCACAATCCTCATCCAAAAGAACATTTCAAGATCCATCTTAAAGTATAATGCTATGACAGGATAATATCCACACACCTACAAGGAAGCCCCGATCAATCATCTGTCATTTTATCGTACAATGATGACTTGCATGTTGCTGTGATTCTGGAAGCTATGCCATGGTATTTTAAATACCAGCAGGGTCAGCCAGGGTGGACAGGTTTCAGTTCAGCTTCCAGATGAAGACAGACTAGGAAGGAGAGATAGACTACTTGCAAATATTTAGTCACTGAAAGCCTTAAGAATAGTAGTGGAACACTATCAGCACCAGAATATTGAATACTGAAGCATGATGAAGAGCACCAGAATACTGTGAGATATAGTGCTGGACAATGAGCCCCTCATGTTGGAAGGCACTCAAAACGCGACTGGGGAAGAACCGCCTCCTCAAAGTACAGTTGACCATGATGATGCGAATGGAGTAAAGCCTTCGGGACCTTCATTACTCGATGGTGCACAACTCAAAATGAAGAGAAACAGTTGGAAACATCCATTAATAATTGGAACACGGAATGTACAAAGTATGAATCTAGGAAAACTGAAAGTTGTCAAAAATGGTCTTCCTTATTTACTGTCCAACTTTTGCATGCATAACTAGGGTGCACACTATTAATATGCAGTTCAATATGAAGTTCTTGCATGAAACGCTGATAAAGGAGTTAGACAGACACAGTCGCCAATACTGTCAATACAAAATATAAACAGTTAGCCAGTTCTAAGAGAATAACCTACCAGGCTATTAGTCAATAAGTCCTATCATTACTATAAGAACATTTTCAATAAAAATGACACATGCATAAATTTCAATGACGCTGTAGCCACAGCCACCACATAATGAGCACTTACTACGTCAGTCATTTTTCTAATTATTTTACATGTGTTGTTTTATTCAAACTTCACAAAGACCCTGGGAAATGTGTATTTTTATAATCACCACTTTGTAAGTGATAAAGTTGAGACACAGAAAGTTAAATAATGTGCCAAAAGTTACACAGCTAGTAAATGGTAGTGGTAGGATTTGAACTCAGGAAGTCTAAATCTAGTATCTATACTCTTCACCACTAAGCTATTTCTTTTTACAACTTGTATATTCATAACAGCGAACCACCGGGAAACCTCTAGGTAAGCTTGTATATATAAAATTCAGGCTAGTCACCACTGCTCATGAGATGAAGGGCAATAACAATTAAGAAAGACTACTATGAAATCATAGTGGTGTGCTGCTAATCCCAAGGTCAGTGGTTCAAACCCACCAGCTGCTCTGCAGGGAACAGATGAGACTATCTGCTTGTATACTGATTTAAAGTCTCAGAGCCCTAAGGAGCCATTCTTCTTTTGTCTTATAGGGTTGCTATGCATCAGCATCAACAGGCTAGAAGTGGGTTTAGTTTTTAGATTTTGTGAATTTCTCTGAGTTCTGAAAGAAAAAAAAAAGGTCCCATATATACTGCACCATGAAACCAGTGAAGCGCTGAGCTGGCCTCCTCCTTTGTAATACACAAACAAAGCCACAGAACTGAGATGGTGTGAAAAAGAACGCATAAGCATTCATTCAACAAACATTTTTGAGGATCTACAAGGTGTGCCATGCCTTATACAACATGGAAGACATTCAAAGATACTGGAACCAAAAGGAAACATTTGAAGTTTTCAGAGTTGAAAACTAATCCTATTACTACAGGCTTCTCTCCTGAATCCTGTTTTTGTTGTTGTTGTTATGTGCCGTGGAGTCGGTTCTGACTCATAGTGACCCTGTACATGGTTTCCGAGGCTGTAAATCTTTACGGGAGCAGAAAGCCTCATCTTCCTCCCGCGGAACAGCTGGTAGTTTCGAACTGCTGATCTTAAGGTTACGAATCCTGTTTTTAGCCATCTGTTATTACCAAGACTCTTTTCACCCCTTGCTATAAAAATGGTGAATTTTAGTGGGAAAAGTGGTGGATGAGACAAAAAAAAAGACTCAATTTGAGTCCACGATGGTGCTTCCACAGAAGTTTAGAGGAACTTCGAAGGCTTGTTATATTGTTCTATCATCAAAAGTTCCTACATTAGTATTGTATTAGAGATGGTAACATAGAATATGGATAACATTCAGGATAATGAACTTCCAAAGAGAATCAAACAAAATGCAAGGCAATAGACACACAGAATCAGTAAGGAGGAGGTGAGAAAGCTCCAGATAAAGAAAAGAGCAGACGTCCCTTTTATATGTACTTTCAAATAATCTATATTAACTAAAATAAACAACCCACGTCTGTGAGTTTGTCATACTGTGGTGGCTTGCATGTTGCTGTGATGTTGAAGGCTTTAACACTGAGGTATCAACTGCCAGCATGATTACCCGTGGTGGGCAGGTTTCAGAGGAGCTTCCAGATTAAAAACAGACTAGGAAGAAGGACTAGGTGGTCTACTTTTGAGAAATTTGTCACTGAAAATTTCATGAACAGTAGTTAAACAGTCTGACATAATGCCAGAATATGAGCCCCTCAGATTGGAAGGCATTCAAAATACAACTGAGAGATGAGAGGGAAGGAGCCTCCATCCAATCCCCTGTGTATGCAGGGTTGATAGGGACAAGCAACTTAGACATTGGCTACCTAAAGTGAGGGGGCTATAATGACACGAAGTGGCGGGTTTACATATTTTCAAGAGGGAGTTCACTTTCAGAGTGTGCGGAGGAAGGGAGAATGCCCACTGAATAGTTTTCATCTGGTCTAGACAAGTCTAGTGAAAAGAGATGTTGAAAAGATTCTTATGATTCAATAGTGAATAATTGTTATCATGACTAATTGTGACTGTCTCAACTGTAAAGGTAGAAGTTTTGTAACATAAAGAAAGAAGTAGTTAATCTTATATTCCAGGAACAGAGGATCCTAGGACCATTAAGGGAGAAAAGCATGAGCAGAACATGGGATCCTATCTAGAGAAACACTGACACCAGAGATGGAGGCAGAGATGATGACATGGAGAGAAAGAGCAGCTGAGAACTCCAGACTCATGGAAAGAGAAAGGCTGTATGCTGCGGACACGAGGTACACTTGAAATGTGCCTTTTGGTTGTTTAAATGATTATATATCCCTTAGTGTTTTTGTGTATATCCCCCCGCAAAAAAAAAAAAAACAGAGGGAATAGAAGCAAATACTGTTGAATGATGTTGCATGGAGGAGATTGTAATCATTGCAATGAATACAAAATACAATAGGAACAATGTAAAACCAATGTTATCCCATGTAAACTATCACTCAAGTTACAATAAAAACTTAAAAAATAAAAATAGCTATACTATATGAAGAAGATTGCTGCATCAGGAATGGGAGGAAGAAGGCTCATTAATAACTTTTAATATTCAGGTGCCACAACCTTACTTGCTGAAAGCGAAAACGACTTGAGGCACTTGCTGATGAACACCAAAAATACAGCCTTTAGTATGGATTACAACTCAGGGTAAAGAAAACAAAAATCCTCATAATTGGATCATAGCTACATCATGGTAAATGGAAAGAAGATTGAAATTTTCAAGGATTTCATTTTATTTGGTTCCATAATCAATGCTCATGGAAGCAGCATTGAAGAATATATGGCACTGAGCAAATCTAATGTAAAAGACCTCTTTAAAGTGTTAAGGAGCAAAGATGTCACTTTGTGGACTAGGTGCAAGTGACTTAAGCCATGGGATTTTCAATTGTCTCACAGGCCTGTGAAAGCTGGAAACTTATTAAAGAAGACAAGGAAGAATTGATGCATCTGAATTATAGTGCTGGTAAAGAACAAACAAATCTGTCATGCAAGAAGTACAGCCAGAATGCTCCTTGGAAGCCAGGATGGCCAGACTTCATCTCACATACTTTGAACATGTTGCCCGGAGGGACCAGTGCCTGGAAAAGGACATAATGGTTGGTAAAGTAGAGGGTCAGAGAAAGATCCCAAATAACACAGACTGACACAGTGACAACAACAATGGGTTCAAACATAACAATAATTGTGAGGCCTGTGTGCATAGGGTCACTATGAGACAGAGCCTACTCAATGGCACCTAACAACCAACAAGAACATGAAAAACAACAGAATTAAGTTGAAATTGTCCATACCATTGTTTGACTGGTAAATTAAAAGTGATTTCTTGCCAGTGTCTTTGAGCTTCATAATCACCAAACATTGGAGGTTTTCCAGCACCTAAGATGAAAGGTTAAATAAAAGAGTAAGACAAATACTTTAGCATAGGAACAATTTTTATTTCCTTGTGAAACTTTCCTAAATTATAGAGTAATTGTACTTTAGAAAAAAAGATCACAGAAGAAAAGAACCCAAAACACTGAATTAAGAGAGATGAGGTCTGAATCCTAGCACTGCTACTTAGTGACCATGTGACCTTGGGCAAATTACTTAACCTCCCTGAGCCTCAGCACGTTAAAAATATGATCAATATAACCTATCTAGAGGGCTATTGGAATAAATAAGAAAATGGATATAAAATACCCAGTATAGTGCCTGGCACACAGTAAACAATCAATAGAAGCTATCATTAATATTAATTAGTCAATAATACTAAGGCATCTGAGTTTATTTTTCATTTATGAAAGAGACTCTCAACTACAAGGTCTAATAAGTATCCTAAAAACAATAAGAATAATGAATTTCTATAATTTACAAAAGGATTTTACAAGCTAAATATAAATAATGTAAGGTCAAATATAGAACCAAACACAGACTAGTATATGTTACAAAGACAGAATTAGAGGCTTTGCTGTCAAATCAGTCATAAAAAAATTGCTTTATTTTATAGGAGTTTCTGGTTGGCACAAAATCAATACACTCAATTAACCAAAAGTTTCGAAGTTTGGCTTATAAAGTTGTTCTTTTACTTCGAAATTGTAAATAAGAGATAATAGGCCAGAAATTCGTAACATCTGATAGAGCCTGCTAGGTACTAGACATTATAATCCTATGAGTTAGATACTTTTACTGTAAAGTCGGTTTGGATCACAGGGTCAGCGGTTCAAGCTCACCAGCCGCTCCTCGGAAACTGTCTATAGGGACGCTATGGGTCGGAACAGACTCGACGGCACTTAACAACAACAACAACAACCCCCACTTTTGAGATGGAAAATGGCGGCACTGTGGTCACCCAGGAAGTAAGTAGCAGAGTCTGTACTTGAAATCAAGCAGATTGGCTCCAAAATCCATGCAGTTCTATTTTGTATTGCTTCACAGCTTGGTTAAGTAGGTTATTAGCTCAACTCTCTTAAAGTTATATAAACATAATTCCATTTAGTAAACACTGTTGCTGTTGCTGCTAAGTGCCACTGAGTCAGTTCTGAGCCATAGCGACCTTGTATAGGACTTCCAGGGAGCAGATGGTGAGCTTGAACTACAGACCTTGCAGTTCAAACCAACTTTGCAGTCCAGCGCATTAGCCCACAGCACCAAACACCTAGGATTTAGCTAGTAATTGATTACAAAACTGTGAGAAGGCCTAAAGAGATACTGTGAAGTCACAGCTTTTAAAATCAGAAAGTAAAGTGAAACTCAATATAATCAAATACACTCATAAGTAAGGGGTGCCACATGGGAGACTGTACACAGGGGGCTTCAAAAAGTTCATGGAAAATTTCCATTAGCTTTTCATTCTATTTTTCTATGAACTTTCTGAAACCCTCATATTATCTCTCACTTAAATCCAGCCCAGATTTTCTTGTTTCAGAGCAGACATCATTTCTACAAATGAACACTATATTAAATAGATCTTTTTGCATTTAGTGATGGTATTATACCAATGTCCTAAAAGATAATCATGGGGAAATCAGATTCAATCTCCAGATACTCACTGGCACAAGGAATTACAATACTCACACACATGCATGTATACACACACATACACACACACACACAATGCTGTCTCGCTCAGAAAGGGCCAGATCTTGATTATTTTTGCATTATCGGGGTATAGTGGCACCTAGTAAGTTCCTAATCATGCTACAGCAAGGAGGACTCCTGGTGTGGAGCTATAGGATAATCTAATCTCAAGGTTGGCAGTTCAAACCCACCAGCTGCTCTTCGGAAACCTATAAAGGGTCACAATGAGTTGGAACCAATGGCAATTAACAATGACATAGCAAGGATACTGAAATAATTAGTGTGAGATTGAAAAAATGTTAGGTTCAAAAGACGAAATCTTCTTAAGTTAAAAAAAAGCAGGGGCTCCTGGTTCTCGATTTGTTGGCGTGCAACATTAAACAAGTAGTGATGATGTATCAGTTACTTATGCGAGGTGGCTTTAACACAATGGCCATAGAGAGGTTCTTGCCCCAGAACATCTTGAAGTTAGTATTTGACTCTGAAAGTCTTTGTTGCTGTAAAGTGCTATTGAGTCACTTCCAACCCATGACAATCCTGTATACGGTTTCCAAGGAACAACTGGTGAGCTTGAACCGCCAACCTTGTGGTTCAAGCTGATTTTGCAGGCCAGCGCATTAACCCACAGTGCCACACCAGGACTCCTGAAAGTCTAGGCATTTGCTAATGCTGCCTGTTCCATATTCCTATATCTCTTCTATCAACTCATATCCATCCTTCAAGAATCATGTTAAATCCTTTACGAAATTCTCCTTATATATTAAGAACACATTTGATTGTTAATTGTTGACATCTCTAAATACTTACACTTTCAGTACCATACATTTTGCCATGACTATGATTTGCTAATTGCTACCTAAATGAGAATTTTAGTTCCTAGGGACACAGAATTTGATTTTTCCATAGTTTAAGGGAAACAAGTTACTAGGTACATACTACATAATTGCATTTAAAAATGTGCTTAATTAAACTGAACAGGAAAGACTAACCTGTCAAAAAGAAAGAGAAAATAATGCCTTAATGAATTAGTTTTATTTTTGCATGTGTATTTTATAGATTACTATGTGTGGCAAGAATACAACCATTCTGTAAGGATTCTTTTGGGGGGGCAAGGAATTGCTTTTTTACTTTTCTGTTTGTTTTGCTTTGCTTTCAGTTATTCATTTTTGTTCTACTGGGATAAAGAGAGGATCTTAAGTAATTTCCTATATCTGAAAAATCTTAACTATCTATATTTTCTGAAATTGCTCTAGGCTTGTGTCTACACTTGTGGTCAATGTGGAAGAATTTATTACCATTCTCTAACCAATAGAAGAATGGATAATGACTCTCTTTAGGGTTGAGAAACAAGTTTCTATCCAGAATCTGACCTACTTCAATAAATCCAGCTGACACTGGCTATGAAATTAGTACTTACGTTTTAAAAACTGCTAAAGTGCCCTTAAAGCAACCCAGAAGGACAACCCAACTGTACCTATGGGAGCTTCACTTGGGAAGGGCAAAAGGATTCCTTCCACAGTGACTGATTCAATAACTCCATTGACAGGAGATTCACAATTCCATAAAGACAACACAAAAATGTATACATACAGAACTGTAACTGTGTCTCATTTCCAGGAAGATGGTCTGAAGTACCACTTAAAATGATACATTATTTTAATTGCTGAACTATTCAGAATTATGGTACAGTTTAAATGACATGCTGTTTATCTCTTAACAATATATATTAATTGCCTTTTCAAAGACATTTTAAACATTCTAAGGAGAGAATCTGGCTAAAAGATTCTACAATAATATCTCCCTTTTATACTTTCCTGGAAAGTAAAGAGAAACATTACAAATAGCATTTGATTAAATGAGAAAACGACCCTAATTTATTATCTAATAAATAGAACACAGTGGGGTCCTGGTATGGAGCTGTAGGATAAGCACTGGACTACTAAGAGCAAGGTTGGTTCAAACCCACAAGCCACTTCTCAGAAACTTTATACAGGGTCACTATGAGTCAGAACCAACTTGATAGCACTTAACAACAACACTATAATATCAAAACTGATTCTTTATGAATTTCTCCTACACAAGCAATAGTTCTCCTCCATCCCCCTTACCCCCCCTTGCAGATGGGAGGGAGGGTGGTTAAAAAGATTATTAAAATAAAATAACCTTCCTCAATTTATAAGTTGCTATCTGCTCCAAAATCACTGGTAACACTTGTAAGTATAGAGGAATTGTAAATCTCTGTCCTAGAGTGGTGCTATAAGATAAGCACGGGTCTTGTAGCCTCAAGGTCAGCAGTTCAAACCCACAAGCTGCTCCTTGAAAACCCCCTACAGTGGCTTTGAGTCTGAACAGACTACACAGCACTTAACAAGAAAAAAATATATAATCAATAGCTAAAATCAGAGTTTGTCTCCACCCCAAGATTCGTTCAAAATATTTACCTAATATTTTAAGGCCTGAATAATAGGTTACTGGTGTGCTGCTGTGGGTTAATGCACTGGACTGCAAGGTCAATTTGAACTGTAAGGTCAGCAGTTCAAGTTTACCAGTCTCTCCTCAGAAACTCTATAAAGGGTCTCTATGAGTCAGAACTGACTCCAAGGCTCTTGACAACAACAACATAAGCTGATCACTAAGCAGCACTGAAAACTAAAGGAGTGCAAATTTTAGAAAAATTTAAATTACAATGTACATAAATAGTTTGCTTATAGCTCATATACATTTCTAAACAACAAATAATACATTAGTGCCGGGCAAGTAACCTGAGCTTCCTCACTTGAGTGTTTCAATTACAATCTTAAAAAAAGGTAAATAAACATAAAACAAACTACAATAGGCACAATAGGAAAACAAATTATAATAACAAAAAGTATTTTAATTGAGGAGGAAAAAACCTGTGGACTCACAGATGCAAAGCTTATTCATTAGTCTTCCAGCATTTGCATGTAAATACTAACAAATGTTAAGTTCCTTATGATGAGGTTAAGAACTGGAACAAAATCAAAATTTCTATATTTTTACTTTTTTCATCTGAGAAATGACAAAAAAACTGAATACTCTTTTATAATTTTTAAAACCTACAAACACCCTACTTATATACAATAACAATATTTATGGAGTATTCCAACACTAATCAATTTGTGGTGACTTTCTTATTGAGATAATTCTAGAGGAAGTTTAAAATAAGTAGCAATAGTCCTTTTTACCATGAGAGAAGTAATCATGTAAGCTCAACACTTAATGAACAAGATGTTAGAATACGTGATGTATGTAAGCAACAAGCATAGAAAAGTATATTTTATGCTTTTCCCCTCAATTCC